TTTTCTCCTAATTTTCTGGTTTTTCCTTCCTCCATAAATTCGAAATCAGTCTAATTCGATCTATCAGTAATTATCAAGTGGTTGCAAAAAGTCGTTACTTTCCATCTCCAGAGTGGTAAATCCACTGAATTAGATTTAAAAAAACTGATAACACACTAAACTGAATGGCTCAGGTATAAGTGGTGTTAGGTGTTTCTCCTAGTGCGGTAATAATGAATACGTATTTATATTACTATAATATCTATGTCTCTAAAAACGTTTGTTCGATGGGTTGGTGTGAGAGTATTTACACGAGGGTCAGGTTCGTAAAAGACGATTTTAGGGATTTTACAGGTTTTTTGTCCTAGCTGTTTTTCCTCCTCATTATGTGAGTTTCAGTGAGTTGCATATTGAATAATTGATGAATTGTGATAGGGATTAGGGGTATGTACTGCCATACGCGAAAGAGTTATTTCGTATCAATTAGTACCATGGCAATTTAAGTCGGATATCTTCCTCATACTTTTATCAAATAATAACGTGTTAAACCGAGGACAATTATTCTGTGCTTTATTTGACATCAATTATGACCTTACAGTACATTCAATCATTATCAAAGCTAAAAGCTAAAAATCGTCTTGAATGTTAAAAAACATTCGATGGCTTTACTCACGCCATCCAATCACGATGCTTGAATGTGGAAACCATTTGATGGCTTTGCTCACGCTATCCAATCACGGGGCTTGAATTTGGAAGCCATTTAGTGGCTTCACTCACGCTATCCAATCATAGGCCTAGGGCTTAAATGAGGAAGCCATTTATTAGCTTCATTCACTCCATCCGGGCAAACAATATGCTTAGGGCTTTAGTGAATGTGAAAGCTATTTGAGTTATCGTGAAAGGATCATAATCGCCAGGGACTCACTGTAATAATCTTTCACCATTTCCCGCAAATAAGAGTTGCTTTTTAAGTAAGAAGTGAAAGATTTGCCAAAAACTACCCTTAGAAGTACATTCAACCTTAACAAATGGATATCCCTTCCATCCTAGTAGTACTCCTAACTATCAAATTATTTACRGTATCTTTTACATGAGGGGTTATTCCTTTTTAGAACTGTGGATTTCATATACGTATTATTTATATTATATATAAACTAACTCAAGATAGAACATGTGTTGTAGCCGTCTCAGTTCTTCTTGTTATGATTTTGTCTCTTAACAATTCTTGATGACCGCATACGATGATCTATCTTGGTAGTTTGAAATATCTGAATTTTTGTAACTTCTAACTTCTATATCACCTTAAACAAAACGACTTTTTTCTAGTCAAAATAGATACAAATTTTCTATTCGGACAAAAAGGCCAAGTGACCCAGCCCCCTTAAAAAGCAGTTGTTTCAAAATGAAACATTTAGAAATTGGACGAGCATCACKATATAGAAGGCCATGTTTCGATTTGGGAGAATGACATTAAATTTAGATTCGAATATTGTTGTTTCCTTTCGGGATTTATTCGTGCCTGAAGGCAAGAGCTCGAGCTTGCCATTTAACACATTTTCCCATAAACATGTCCTCATAAAAAACATCCACGATGCCATTTCTTCAACGTTCAATATTTGTAACTACAAATGAGCCTACAGTGACGCATGAAATCAAATTTCGTTTTCGTTTTAGCCATATGAATGAGGCCGATAAAATTTAACACCTGCCACCTATAAATTAGTTTCAGTCAAATTATGACTAGTAGTTGCTTACTGTTTTTAAGACTAAATTGTATAGATTAAAAGCCCCATATAAATACATATTTACATATATTGGGTACAACAGGTGCATCTCGAAGACTAGAGCTGTAATCTTATGTTTAGTATTTATCATTGCAAGCTTTTGAAAAGCACTGGACTTTCACAGTGTTGTGAGTCAATAATATAGTCCAAGAAATACTGATTGAAAAAAGTTAGTGTCTTCAAGTCTTTTTTTTTTTTTTTTTCATGATATGGTTTGCTTTGTCACAAAGTTTGCTGTTGCTCTTTTTCCTTCCTTTCCTTTTCCATCACTACGTCATTCCTTTCTTCCTGTCTTCCATTCATTCGTTTGTTCTCTTATTCATTCGATGATCTGTTTGTTACTTTTTAGTTATTCCCTTATTTTTTTTCTTTTCTAACGTTTTTTTCCTAACGTTGTTTACTTATTTATTTCATGCTTTTCTTTTTCTTTTTTCCTTTTTTTAATTTTCTGTTTGTTTTTCGACTCTGTTTTTTTCCTTATTTAAATATCTTCTGTTTTCTGTGTTTATGACAGAATCAGAGGCCTCATTTCTAGTTCAAACTTACAAAATTTGGATGAAGCAGGACGCATTTTTTTAAACGGAAAACAAACTTAAATAACCAGGACACGAAACAGTGTTTTTTGGTGTAAACGCCTTATAGATTTCTCTTCAAAATGACTCTCTACTGATTAAGAAGCAATAGGCAAGGAGGCTACGTGGTTATACTTATTTCACTAAATAAGGTGTATCAGCTGAAAAGCTACGAAGCTGAGAAAAAAGGATTATTGGTAGATACATTTACATGAATGGATATTAATTTTTTTGTATTTTTGTTGTTTTTTTTTATGGACGAAGGTAAATAAAAAAATTTGAGTTTCATTGATCATTTCTTTTGATCATGCTCAAGTTGTAATTTGCCTCACTAACTTTACTTGTTTGATATGAAATATTAAAAATCTCAGCTTTCTAGTTCTCGGTGGCTAACTTATTTTTGAAATAACCTGAACTAACTACAGTCATTAWCTTTAATCTGCATTGTTTCTTATCAACTTTATTTCTATTAGCCATTCCGAGGCTGGGAAAAAACTTGGTCGAGTTGACATTGCAGTGCATTGTGGGCCTGCTTTAGGCTACATATTTTAAGATGGCGTCTATTTCGTCTCCTAATACAGTCCTATACTGCACTGCAATGTCAGCTCGACTATGTTTTTCCTTAACCTCAGAAAGACTAATAAGGATACAACAGCACTGCAGATTACAGTAATCATACTGCTGTTATAACCTGATAACGATCTACGCTCATACTTCTAGAACTACTTTCATTATCTTTAGTTTGCTTTGTTAAGCGCGTAGACCTGCTTGGGATTGTTGCTCTCCTTTTTTTCCGGTAGAACCTACGGCAAAGTCTTCTAAATCCTTTTCTAAAGTTCCCATTGAAAAAGATGCAAATGAGTGGGTTTACCACCGAGTTAGAATAGGACATGATATATAAAGCAAAGTCTACCTTCGGAAGGCTTTCAGAAGGAGTTAGTATTCGATTTGCATGGTAAATAAAGACAGGACCCCATAATACCCCAAAAGCCACAATAATAAGTATGGACAAATAAAAGATTTGCCTGTCTCTGTACTTCCTGGAACGGCTATCCTGAAGCATGGAGGATACATTTTCTGAACTTTGATAAATTTTGTAARTTATTATCGAGTACAATACAGCAATAGAAAGGAAAGGAATCACGAAGAATAGCACTAAAACAAGCACGACGTAAACACGAGCATAGGTGGTGCTATCGAAGGCTGGTTCCGAAGAAAAGATACATTGTGGGTAGCCGTTATCATGACTAAGACGAAATGTATAGAACACATGAGAACAGAAAGCCATGCTCACAAGCCAAGGAACAATAATCAAGAGTCTTGCAGTTATCTTCTTGTTGAACACGTTCACATGCATTGGAAATACAATGGCCACGAACCTGTTGACAGCGATGATGACTAGGCTAAAAACYGACACGGCAGGCGTCAACTCGCTTAGATAATAACACAGTTTGCACAGCGCTTCACCAAGGGGACCGTCCACGAACCATCTATTTCCAGTCAAGTCACCGGTGAGAGTATTAGGTATTGTTATGAAGGGTACAAACAAGTCTGACACAGACATATTCACAATTAAGTAATTAAAACTGGTTCTCATATGTGCATTGGAGTAGACTATGGCGATGACAAGAATATTGGCAATGGCAGAACATAACATGACGATTACGCTCAAGGAGATCCTTAGATGACTTGATAATGGAGCATCTTCTGATGTACTCATTGATTGATTTGACTGGTTGTCCATGACTAACTGGTTATCTAAAATAGACAACAAAAAACACAATGGAATTAATATTAATCTAGGTGTTTTGTTCACCAATACAAACACGCGCTGRCCGTACAATGATTGAGAAATGTTTCAATACCACACGAGGAAGATGGTGATAATGATACAATTGATGATAATGATACAGGATGATAATTATATAGCCACGATATAATGCGTGCTGTGATTGGTTAACTAGCGTGCGCGAGCGTGCATCCAGAAATGGATGGTGCATGCTGACGTGATTGAATAGACCGCGCTATGTAATGAAGATTATGTTAGAACTAAATTCTATTTTTTGATCAACGAATATTTTTTTACAGTTTTGCTATGTTAAAAAAGCAATGGTCAATGCTTAGTTGTGCGTATATCCAGTTCTGGATGCACTTGGGAGGTTGCTTAATCACTCATGAAGCTAGAGTTGCACTCGGCTACCTCTCGTACGAGTCTTACGCTTCATTCGTGCTTAGAAACCTGCCGTGTGCATCCAGAACTGCATATACGCACGCTCAGCATTGACCGATCTTTAAACGACACATGATGATAATGATACTTAATGATATTAAATRAAGAATAYACATAAAGATAGTAATTATACAAGATGTTGACTAGTAATAATAATAATGATGATGATGAAAATAATAATAATAATAATAATAATAATAATAATAATAAAATAATAATAAGACACAAAGACATAAACACATAAACACATAATAAATACAATATAAAAACGGCCACTCATATGGTATATATTACTCCTAAACTATACAAAAGAACTAGCCTAGACGTTTAAGTATTATACAATTACAATATGCGTGTCCCTGCTGTATACGATTTAAAAACGGCCACTCATATGGTATATATTACTCCTAAACTATACAAWAGAACTAGCMTAGACGTTWAAGTATTATACAATTACAATATGCGTGTCCCTGCTGTATACGATTTAAAAACGGCCTCTCATATTGTATATATTACTCCCTAAAAGTAATTATGAAATATGTACAAGCACAATGTTAAAACCAAATTGATATTTTGCAAAGTTAAACAACCGAACATCCATTAATCGAAGTCTGAAACATTGTCTGGGCCTATCAAAGTCAATGTGCGAGAAACTCACTGATAAAATTGGAAAAACGGAACAACTGTACTTACATCTGACACCAAATTTGTGTAAAAATCAACCAGTAAAAGACTATACCTGGCATACGGTATTGGGATCCTGGTATTGTCGCCTTTGTTAAAAAAACTATTTTTTTTGTAGGTCGGTGAATGTATTCAACCAAAGGACTCTCAAGAATAATATCCTTTCTATTGCGGCACACTTGCAGGAACACCGAACYATAACATCGTCATCATTCTCATAGCGTAAAAAGTCTGGTTTTCTATTTAAAGGTGGGTGTTCGTTTATATATTATTACTCTGCTCACCCATTGTGCCAGGGAAATAACCAATTCTTAATAACTTGCTCAGTAAATATAGCGCAAACATCCGATTTCATTGGTTGATGATATCGATAACATATTGTGACCTTCCTGCTTTATTGCCTTTAAATATATCCCGAAAATTGGGGCGGGGTAGACGTCTCAGATTCTGACATTATCACTATTAATGTTGAAAAACATTTGCAAATGTAGCTCATCTTTTTGAACTAGTATGTTGAATAAACCTAGATGAAATGATATTAAAATCAGCCTCTTTTTTCAATAGAAAAATGTTTAGCCGGAGGTAAGCCGAATTGATATCGCATCATCGATTATCTTTCCTTGTTTTAGTTATATTTTCAATTTTTAAAATGCGGTAACAGCCAATTTTCTTTGCTCTCGATTATTTACTCCTACCTGTTTGACATCAACTGTGTTTTTTAGCCTTCGGCTGTTGCTTTTTCTTTRGAATGAATGTAAAACCGAATTTTGATAGAACGGATAGTCGCTCTGTATCACTAGAAGACTTTGATAAATTTTTCATGCTGAGAAGTTCCTTTATGTATGTTCACATGGTATTTTACAGGATAATGAAAAAAAAAGCCATTCGTTATTTTCAATTTTACCCACTTCTAGATATGATTTCTATCAGTTCTCATTAACAATATGTGGTAGCAGGTGGCTTTGGGTTGTCAGAAAGTCAGAGATAATCTTGTAGATGTTGGAGGGTTCGAAGTGGAATATTAAGTACAAAATGTGTCTGCTATTAAAAAAGTAAGTTTTATGAAAATTGTGAAAGGACGGCCGAGAGACAGAGAGAGAAAATGAGAGAGAGTTCACTAAATCTAATCCTTWCCGCTATAAGTACTGCATTTTCGTCGGGTACCATAAAATAAATTTTTATCACAATCAGCAATAAACTGTGCTATTTGAGGTTGCTAGGAATTCGACATTTTATACTTCTAGTACAATTAACATATTTTGATTGTTGTAGTTTTTACTAGATTAGATTTCCCTGACCCTTTTCTTAAATGAATAATTGTTCGTTAAAAACGTAAAAGGAGAAGATAATAATAGGATGAAACTAAATAAAGAAAAGAGGAATACAGAAGAAATTATAAGAATATATCATTGAAACTCAGCAAAATATTGAAATAACTTGTATAGACACTTGATATGTTTTGACGTGACGAAAAGTGCTCAGAGAAAGAGAAAAAAGATGTTTTGAACATGAATACGACCGGCACAAGTTAAGGGAATATAAGAATACAGAACTCAATTATATTGCTATGGATATTATTGGCGGCAAAAGAACATAAACCAGCCTCCAGCTAGTGACTCGTTAAAAACATTTCTTTTAATATTTCAAGAGGCATTTAGCCACACTGAACTTGATGAGATTTAATTTCCATACATAGAGTAAGAGAGTAAATCTCCAGGGCCCGGTTGTACGAAGCCTGGATAGCGCTAACTGGCGGATAAATCCTTATCCAGTGGATAACTCGATGCTGTTTTCCAATAAATTTGTCCACTGGACAAGATTTATCCATTGAATAGCGCTATCAAGGCTTTGTACAACCGGGCCCAGGAGGGAAAAAAGGAGGGGGAGGTGGAGTGCGGGGTACTATTATCGATTATCGGCTTGTCGAAAAAGTTTCAAAAATATACTCCCAAAATCTACCGGAAGTCTTAAAATGAACGTGACTGTACAATCTTTAATCTAAGAGATATCATACAATRTCATAAACTATTTAAGTATTTATAATGACTGAGTTCGAAGATGCGCCTAAGCTTTGCATACTGATAAATATAAATTACAAAGAGATATAGGCAGCACTTTCTCTTTCGGTACGCTAAGAGATACCAAGAAATGCCGAAATTCCAACTTTCAATTTTGACAACCTAAATGATACAAGTTTAAATGGTTGAGTTTTGCCCTAAGAGACACATACCCGAACATACCCGATATTCTTTTACCCCGGAGACATCGACCCCGCCTCCCATTTCCCCAGGCCGGGGTAATTCTTCTGAAAAAGAGTTCGAATCGAAACTTCACAGCTTGAAACAGAAGGTTTCGGTTGACCAGCCTAAAAGTCTGAAAGTGAGTTTTTTTTTTTAATGCTGTCAATGACTTTCAAGTTCTTCCCTCAAGGAATTGATTTAGGATGACCTACTTCAAGATTTAAACTCTTGGAAAACAATTTTCTTAATATACAATTACATATACGTGAAGACCAGATCCGATTTCGCGAATCTATGCCTGCATCATTTAATCTAGACGTTTTAGACAAGGCAATCACATTAAGGGGRAAAAAAAGCATTCCTGGTGTTTCAGGCGCGGGCGGAAACACTCATACATTACCCATTTCCAAACAAACAGTAAAAACAGCTTTTGTGGTTAGTCTGTAGAATTATAAGAAAGAACGACCTAGAAGATTGTAAATATCTCTTCTGTCTGTCTGTCTATTTGTCACACGCTGGTCGACCTTTTGGTCGATCGGTCGGACTGTCAGGGACTGCAGAAGATGTCTATCGGTTTGAAAGATTTGTCTGTCTGTTCCTGCCTTTCTATAGTCCTCTGTAGAACTTGTGCCTATAGTTTTGTCTGTCTGTCCATCTAACTGTTTAGTCATTTATAAATTATTATTTATTTATTTGGGTTAGGTCAGGTAAAAGGGCGGCCACTTTTGAAACAGCTAAGAAATGAAGTGTTGAAATGGGAATAAAAACATGCAATAGCCGATTACAATTAAGGAACTTATGACAAAAAAACAGTTTACACCGGTATTGAGAGCCGGACTGAATTCTATAGAATTGGGTAAACAAAATGTAGAGGTACGATTCAACTTAACATAACTTAAGTGCTAATCGAGTAGATCATATGCTAGATAAGAGAATAATGAGTGGAAAAAAACCCTATTGATCCTAGTATATTTTGCAGCAATAACAGAAGTGAAGGTAACTCTAGAGCGACGAAGGTGAACTTCGACTCATGGCTAGTCTGCGGGGTAAAGTTACTCAATCCGCTTCCATGAATATTCATGCTAATAACAAAAACTACGAAGGAAAATCAAACAATTTAAGGATATCCTTGGTCAATAGCCGTGAATGGTAGTTTTGACCGTACGACAGTCGTTCATTAGAGAAAAAAATAAAATAAAATGATTTGTCTATCACTTGAACGAAATCAAAGACGCATGAGCATTTATACTTTAAATGGATTTACCTTTACTTAGACCTACCTTACTGGCTGTTTCATGTCACCATCACTGACGAAGAATGACATTTTATCTTTCCTTATTCTACTTATTTATCTATTTTAATATCATGATCTGTAAACGTGATATGTGTACTTCCGGACGATTCTTTTTCGCTTGTTGTGTCTGTAACATTCAAGTTCCTAATCGGCTCCATATATAGCTGCTTCTAGTTACTTCTCTTACTCATGCAACTTGATGTATTGCTCAGTTTTGTATTAAAAGCTCTAAACTGTCAGTTGTGTGTCATTCAATAGTGTAGTGTCAGTCATACTAACAGCTAAGGAACGTTACTTTTTGAACTGTTCAACGTCTAGACTTTCTCAAAGCCCCAAAGGACGATCTCTTTCTACTTGGTCGTCGCTCGGTCGCTTCTTGACCTAAGTTACCTCGCTGCCTCCGCTCTCAACTAGCAAATTTAATGTACTAGCAAAATTAATGTGTAAAGCCAGGGAAGAAAAATCGACTTGGACGAGTATATGTTCAAATACTAACCTGTCACTCAGCTTCATGCCCTAGATATTAGCAAATACATTCTGATTGCAGTGTGATTGAACCACGGTGCGAATCCCTTTATCCAGTTATTAATCGGACTAATATACCGATAGTAACTATTTGTCTACGTTTGCTTAAGCATAAGTTTTAATTATAATATTCTACAATTGTTGTTTTTGAGGTTTTTTGTCATTGATGCTATTCGTCGTGTTTAATATATTATTTACCTAAAGGAAATGTTTAAATTTTTAACGAGAGCAAAAAAGAGTAAATAAAAACAGTATATAACTCACTTATACACCGCGGTTTTGAACTAGCTCCAAGCTTTTCAGCAGTCATTATTATGTCTAGAAATGAAATGCGAGTGCTTACAGTCGCTTATGCGCAAGATTGTTTAGCAGAGTAAGAACTGCTACCCAAGGCAAGCAGCAAAAGAGTGATGCCGATATGGATAAGTAATACGTAAGCTACATACCAAAAACTCGTGTTTCGTCTATCCGATTCTGTCTCGATAAGCTAGCGATTCAAGAGCTGGACGGTAATGATCAGCACATGGTGCGGAATAACCTTTAACTTCATATAAACGGAAAAATATCTTCACGCTTCACACGCAGTTCGTGAACTCACGCTAAGATTGCGCACAACGTATAAACTTGATCCTCACTTCCCACATCTAGGCAGCCTGTGGGGTCATCTTTTATAAAGGCTAAATGGGTCTGACGTCAGCCGACACTGATTTCGAAATGACCATCAAAACTGCCAACCGCGCGCCAAGCTGAACTCACACTATTGGCCAGTATGCCGGATATTTGATGTATGATATTTCTCTTAATGCTCTTTGAGGATAAAAGAAGCAAGCTGAATTCACACTAAGATTTTAAAAAATTATCCTGTTATTTATATTGCTGTAGTAATTGTTCTTAAAGGAATAAACATATATATACACGCACAATATATAAGCGTAGTTTATAGTTCAAACTTTCATTGCATCTCATCTCATCTCATCTCATCTCATCTCATCT